ATCCTCTAGTCTTATCAAAAATGTTTTAAATTGATCGTTTTAGAGAAATTATTGAAAAGAAAGTGTTAACAGAAGTTTTTTGAACATTTGTTTAAAATACTTAATCGGGAAATCACTCTGTTAATAACCTATTGTTTCGAATTGTTTTTATCGTTTTGTTTTTCAAACTTTTCGTATCAAGTTGCACAGTTGACAGAGTATCGTGAAAGAATTATTGTCACCAATAACAAATTAAAATTGTTTTTTCTCGAGCACTCCGACAGATTTTAAGAGGAAGACGACTCGGTTTCTTTATTTTTCGTCTCAAGGTTGTGATTGATTAAAATATTGACTAGTGAAAATCCACTTGGCGTCTATTTGTCATTGCTGGAAGAATAGTCTGGTGATGTGAAGTGGTGGTGGTGGTGGTGGTGTGCACACGAGTGTCGTTCGCATGTTACAATGTAAAGGTGAAAGCGGCGGGATCCTTTTCTAAGGTTAAAATGATTGAGAGGGTTGACATAGTCGAATATGAGGTTTATTGTGTTCCGCCAATGAGGTAGTGGGCGACGGCTAACACGCGTGACCGCTTAAGCTACGGTTAAGGGTCGTTGCCGTCATTACGCACGGAAATTCAGGACAACGGCTGTCCACGTGGTCAAGGCCATCGCACATTCATGACGGTTGTTAGCGTGACTTGTTCGACTATTACGTGTACAAGATTATTAATTTACTAGTGTGGATGTATAACGATAAAATACGCGCATAAATATTATATATGTGTGTTAATAGGTCCTCCGATTGAACTGTTAGCAGGGGAGTATTAGGGACGATCGATGGTTGCGGCGGCGGCGGCAGCGGCGGTGGCGATTGAATCACTTGCGTCACGACAACTGAGTAAAGGTGGACGCGTAGACCGTTGCGGCGGTGGGGTAGTGGTGCCGATGTCCTGTGTATAGTATGTGAATGTAACCCGGGCGGCAGACGCCCACGACGACCTGCCTCAAAAAATATATACATACAACATTATCAGCGTCTCCAACGTTTGACGAGGGGAAGATGCCGTTACGGCCCACGCGTTTACGATTCACCCCACCGATCCGCGGCCGTCGACCACTTTGTACCACCATCCCGTAAACTTCAACCCTCGTGTGCGCCCACGAAATACGCCGACCTCTGAACGGTGTCCCTTCAACCTTGCCCCCCTCTTCCCTTTCAATTCATAACGGCGTCTGTTCATGCCGTTATGAATGAAAATTATTACAGTGTGTTTAATGAATACCACCGCGATTATGTGAATAAATTAAGTAATAATAATTATTTGCACATTTAATTTACAATTTATCATAACTATGACAAAAAAAAAAAGACAATTTGCTAAAAAATCATAGATCACGAATATTAAAAATTTGAAGTGTGTGTAGGAAAAGCTCAAAGTATTTTTTTTTTTTAAGCCATTAAATAAATGTTTGACGATAATAATTTGCTGTGTTATTGCCAGTTGATTTGATATTTAAGGTATTTTAAGTTCATATCTCGTAGGGTTTACTTTTTGAACCCACTTGTTGTATCGATTACCGTTAATTACCTTCACAGGTCACGTCCTTACTCCATATACCGCGTGAACTGTGCTAATAAAATCCGGATATACCGGAATAAAAAAAAACCGAACTAGCATTAGTGGCGGTAGTGACAGTGGCGAGGTGCAACGTTGTTGTTCGCGTCTAGTTTTTTAATGTATACAAAACTCGCGTTTATCCGCATCGAATTAACGGCGGAGTATTTATACGTGTAGTTTGGCTGATTTACAAATGATTAAGTATCGTATGCATTTACACGATGGAGGTGTAATGTCTCACAAAACAAAAAAATTAATTTTTAAAACATTTTTGACAGCAGGGGTTAATTTGAAGATCCTTTTTATGTCGTACTTATAACAATACACGGTCAATTAACAATTCTGACCCTACGTATTTTGCGCAGACCTAGTCGATAGTCTCTTCTCATAAATGATAATCAATGTAATGTTCCCATAGTACGCCTCTGTGCACGTAGACGCATCTAATAGGTTTAATGTATGACATTTACAAAGCGACAAAACTTCATTATTGTGTGCTTCTCGGTTCTATTGGGTAATATATATATATTTTTTATTAAACAAACTATTATTCAAACTAGTAAAACTCAAATATCTAATGCATTCTATTGGTAGGCCTAGACCGACAAGATAATGCACGCGGCCGAGCATTAAAAGACCATCGTTTTAGTTGTGCTATTGAAAAATTAGTGATAATTCAAAAAAATATATATATTACTTGGCAGTGTGCGGTGTGGCGACCTCAATAATGTAACAAAAGATTAATGACGTTGCTCAAACCTACCCTTATAGTTTTTGTGTGAAGATTGAACCGAACAAAGCAAAATAATGGAAAGCCTTTTTACCTCTCGGACAGGCGTTCATGATGTCTGTCTAGCAGTCCGAGTTATCTAGAGCCACACAAAAGTATTTTTTATTACACATTTTAACTAGTCACAGCTGTTCAACGCCGAATCGGTGCCGATTTTCAGCCGGACTCGTTAGGATTTTCTCGTGTAGTTTTACATTTGTAAAATAAATACAAAAAAACAGGATATACGTGGTAAGCAGGAAGATGATAAACAAGTAAAACGTTTTATCTTATGAGTATTTAATATAAAAAAAAGAAATAATAAAAACGAACACACGGTGGCGGTTTTCGGTGGGAAATTAGAATGTTTATCACGAGGTCCGCCGTTCTATGTAATAATATGCGTATGTAGAGCATGTTTACTTGTACTAAAAAAAACCGTTCCAACTGGAGTGTCGAGTATGATCATAAAAAAAAAAATCGCTAATACCCATACGATGTATATGTTATTACGGACGACGGTAGAATGACAAGGAAAAAACAGTCTATTTGGCGTCTGCTTTGTAAGAATGTTTATCTTTTTGTAAAAAAATTATTTCCCAACACGCATGAGGCGAGTACTTAAGCGATGCGTGCATTTTTTGTCAACGCACAATTTTATGTCGGGTTTACTTCTGTACCTTGTAATGGTTACTCCGCTGTGTATTACATCTAAGCATGCGGTCCATTAAAACGCGACCGAACAACATTAATGACCTAGAGAGAATATTTTTAGTGACAAAATATCGCACTGTTGAATAATTGTATTTCTACAAATTTTTTAATTGAAAATATTACCGATTTTCTTGTCAATGCAATATCGGACGACACGTTATATTCGTTTGTACAAAGATACTTGTTCACGTTTCGATTGACCATATTTAAAATCCGCACGCCATCAATCGCGTATCATTAATCATTTTTTGGTTTTTTTAACGTGAATACCGTTGTCTATACAAGACAACAATCTGATTTCCAATCGGAGCCACACGCACCTGAAACGCCTGGTGTACAAGACGTCAACTCTAGTCATGCGTACAAAATAATGAACGGTAGCGTTAAAAATATGCGATGATAAAAAATTGTTAGATGGGTCAGTCACACTGTTGCTCGCGTACATATTTTCGGAAATATTAGTACATTCCAGTCGGTTAAGTACAACGTTTATATTGATGATCTCGCGTCTGATCGCTGTTGGTAAACGCGAGTCATTGCACTAGACAGTATTTCGACGATAAAAAAAAAAATTATATAAATATTAAATAGCGCTAAAAAAGACCGGTGTGCGTGTGTAAAAATAGCCTCGACCGCGTTTATAAATATCCGAACAGGTCGGAAATCGGACACCGCGGTCTCCTCCCGTGTGCCATGTTCGCACTAGCCGAGACCTTGACTCCGAGTCTTGATAAATAAATAAATATTAACAATATGTTAAATAAATCGTTAGGAACCAATGGCCCAATGATTTAGTGACAGCCGTTCACTTGGCGGTGGTGTCTCTCGGCCATCGTTGACGTAATGCCCCCGTACATGTGTCGGTGTCCACACGTGTACACCGATAGGTGTGCGGTTATCGCTTAAATATGCTAATAACGTGACGCTGATAGAGATCCGGCCGTACGAAAATGAATTTGTCGGGAAAATTGTATAGCCGGTCGAATAGCTAAGTGATCAATGCAATCATAACAACTGCACATCAATACTCGTCAGGAGCCGTGTCAATTTGTATTGCGCCTAAAATATTTGTAAACGCTCTTTCGTGTGGTGGTTGCCCAATTGATGAAATATCATCGAGGTTTTTATTCGAATAACGCGAAACAAGGCGTCGTGTACAAATGATTACACTGATAAATTGCGTTGGGGCTTGAAAAAGAACAATGGCACAGTTGGTCTGTGCCCGTTCGCATTACCGATAGGCCCGAGATGCGAGCGGTTTTCGTGTCGCGTATGTATTTTCAACGATTTTTTTCGATTAATTACCGAATTTTGAATATCTACCAATCCCCTCCCCCGCCCCGTCGTCAGTCTTGTGACCGAGTCTTCAGCGTACACTATCATATCGACGTTTAAATATCTCGGAACCGTAATTACTTTGTTTGTCGTTCGTTATCTGTGATCGGACGTTAAATGGCTCGATAACGGCCGGTACATCAAAGTCGCCGTTAAAAACCCAGACAAAAGCTGCTTCGCTTACAAAAATAGCCCACGTCCGTCGGTTTTACCTGCGGTAGCCCGTGCGGCCGTTCTCTCGTGGAACCGGTCGCCTCGCCCCGACCCGGAAGGATGACAAAACAACGTCGTCGTGTTATTGCACCGAGTGGATGACACGCGTCGTGTTGTCGGCGTTCGGTTTTGCTGTTTAGGCCGCGCAAAAATAGTCCGGATTATTTTTGTCGGATTTATTGGGTCCAAACTAGTTGGGTATTTATAAAAGCAGCTCGTAATATTCCGGTAGAATTATTTTTATTATTTAACGCCGTACTTGTTACCATCTGTTGTTTTACGCCGCACGCACACTGTTTGTTATTATTTTTTTTAAAACTGAATTTTATTTTTCCCATATACTAATGTGTCAATTGGACATTTTGTTGGCAGATATTTTCAACCGTTGGAAGTTTCAGCAAGTGCTTCTGCCGTCGGTCTATCCGATTGTCTGTTATAAACGGCCAACAGAATTTCAGGGAGCAGCGGACGGCACCGAAAAGCGGATTTGACGGTTAATTCCGCCGCAGCCATGGGCCGTAAGAAAATCCAAATTTCCCGGATAACGGACGAGAGGAATCGTCAGGTGAGCATAATTTTTTGATTGCTTTGTACTCGTCGAAACCAGGGTTCAAAAAACACGAGGGTTACCGAAAAAAATAACGAAAAATTATTTGCGTTTTAAAAGACAAATATTGTTAATATTATTTATATAAAATAAAATATTTTAATTCTATAATTGTTTGTTTTTCTGCTCGTCCGCGACTAATTACTGTCGTCTATTTACTCACCTCAGACTTTGACCATAACGAGTTACATGGTTTTGTTAATGAAACTGAAAATAAATCAATTTAGATAATTGGTAATTCTGAGTTTTTGGTAAACGGTCGCGCGCCGATCATTGATGTGTTTTTCAGAAGAGAATTGGTTTTTGTAAAGCAATGAATAACACTAATTGTTCCTATTATTATTTAATGCACTAAACAGTTAATTATCAATTTTTTTATTTAAAAGTTAAATATTTTTGTTCCTATAAATAATACACTAGACTGTTGTTAATTTTATTATTAAACATAAAATGTATTTTCCTAAGATTTGACGCGTTCATTGTTGATCAAAATGAAAAATTACAAGAAAATGATTTTTTTTTTTTTTTCAAGTGGGTTTTATTACTGTGTCCAAACGATTAAAACCCACCCTGTTTTAGTAGGTTGTGAACACTCGGCACTTTAAACGCTACTCGAAACGTTTCTTCAAATATTGTGGTACGTTTTAATGAAAATTTTGTGGAGTCAACGGCCAAATATATTATTTTGAGTTATTACATTTTTTTCTCGATCTTAAGTTAATTAGTCAGTGTAGGTGCGATGAACTTAATTTTATTACGAGATTATTTCATTTCAAGGGTTCCTCTCAATCGACCGGCGTACAGGTGCTTGTAGTTCAATGTCATATTAATCAACTTGCTTTCTAACGCTCCTCGAACAGTCTAAACTTATTCAGTGTTACCTTGGGGGCGTATTTAAAACTTTTAGAAGCATAATCGTTTTTTTTCGCGGATATGTTACCATCAAATTTAGTAGATGACCTTTTATTTGTTCGTAACTTTTATTTTGCTAAAATTGCTACATAAAAGTTTTAAAAAAGGAAAACAATAAAAAATTACCATGTATATGATTGAAACACGCATTGAGAAATTTTTATTCACTTAGAATTATTATTTTTAACTAAAAAAAATGACTTTATTTTCATCTTTTGTAAAGGTCCGTAACGTCTGCGTCCTATATCAAATTAAAGCTTTTTAAAACGCAAAAAAGAAAAACGATTGCTGCGTATTATTATAGGGGGATATAATATTTTTTTCTGCATTGAAATTGTTTAATACATTTTTAATACTAAAAACAGACATATAATTTTTTAATTAAAAAATATAAGCGTCATATATCTGACACTTCAAAATATTAATTCAACCGTATTATAATTAATTAATTAAAAGTGATAACATTTCTTGACACAACCCTATGAATTTTGCTTATAAAAATATTATATTTGCTTAATGAACACATGTTATCGCGAATGACCAAAAAATAAACGAAAGCGTTTTTTAATTCTTATCTTATCTTACATCGGTTAATACAATATTAGCATGACTTAGTCTATGGGGAGCATGTGCCCCTAAGCTTACGCATATTACACGTGGCCCCTCTATATAAAAGCAGCTGCTACTGGTTACCTTATCTACTCGAAAAGAAGTACATTAACATAACAAAAAATATTCTAATTTAAATAAACATTGATCGTTTTATGCAATAACGGATGCGCTAAATATGAAACGCCGCGCNTTTTATCTTCTAAGTACTGACCCATATTCTTTTTCCTCGGTCAACTGCTATTGTTTCGCGTAACTTTTCTCAGTTAAACCTTTGTCTAACATAACAAAAAATATTCTAATTTAAATAAACATTGATCGTTTTATGCAATAACGGATGCGCTAAATATGAAACGCCGCGCGTTGGGCGTCTACTTTCAAATTGTAACGTGTATATTTCATATTATGCGTATGTTGACGGAATTTTTTTATTTTGCTTATTTTGCATTTGATGTCACACATACATCTTATTCAAACGCCTCAGCAGCGACCTTTTCAACATTTTATTATTTTTTATGTTAAACTCGTACTCAGATTAATTTTTTTTAATAATCTTAATAAATATGTTGAAGTAAACTACAATTTTATTTAGTTAAGTTGTTACTCGTCTCTCGTGACACATATATTTGGCCCAAGAGAGATATCTCGTTAGTGCGTTATACTTTTGAGAATAATTCTGTTCACTTTAAATTTTATGCAAACATTTTGTTATCGTTTTTATGCCAAAAATCTACGTAGCTTAAAATTTACCCCGAGTCTTTTTTCTAAATTAATATCAAGGTGCATAAACCCAAATATATTTTTGACACTTATTATATAAATAAGTAGATTTTGAAATTTAAAAAAAAATTTCTTGATTTCAATAGTTTTCTTTCACTTTAATTTAGTATTACTTCTGTTTTTAATTCTTAATGTGTTTATGACTAGGTGACATTCAACAAAAGAAAATTTGGTGTAATGAAAAAAGCTTATGAATTAAGTGTGTTATGCGACTGTGAAATCGCCCTCATCATATTTAGCAGCTCTAACAAACTATATCAATATGCTAGTACTGATATGGATAAGGTGCTTCTCAAATATACAGAGTACAATGAACCCCATGAATCGCTCACAAACAAGAATATTATTGAGGTAGTAAATTAATGTTATTTTTAAACTTATTTTTACTTACTTTGTTTTTCTTTTTAGCAACTCAATAAAAAAGAACTGAAAGGTGGTGCTATGAGCCCTGAGAGTCCAGATGAAAGCTGTGATGGCACTCAAGGTCCATATCAATTGACCCCAAGGACTGAAGCTAAGTATAGTAAAATTGATGAAGAGTTTCAGTTGCTCATGCAGCACCAACGAATGGCCAGGGTAAGCACTGTATTATAGAATATTACCATCATGACATACAATGTGTCATTTTTCTTTTTAGAATAATGTAAATGCCAATTATCCGCTTCCTACCTCGATGCCAGTGAGCAATATGTATAATGAATCTGGAAATTTGCAAATACATCATAGTGCTAGTCCACGACCTCCTTCTTCGGATGCTGATTCTGGTAATAAATTAATATTTAAAAATATTATTAATTTATACAAAATGTTATTACGGTATAGTGATTTGAATTTTTTTATATACATATACAGTTTATCCTGCTGGTAGCATGTTAGAAATGAGTAATGGATATCAAACGTCTTCATCTCCAGCTCTAGTCAATTCGCCTTCATCTCCGGCACAATTAGTCATGTCGCCCTCTCCTACACCAAAAGCTTTAAATGCATCTAATCGCTCAACTCCGCCACCAAGACATCATTCTCCTAGGCCTAACTTGCGCATAGTCATGCCAAATGCTGCTAGTCATCATGATGATACAGATGTAAATTCATACAAATTTTAATTGGTTAAAATATTAATTATAATTATTATATTTAATTTTTTTGTTTTATAGTCGAATGCTATCAATACACCGACTGTTTCTCTGAATACACCTGTTGTTGCTCTTCATACACCTGGATTAGGTGGCTCTTACCATGGTATATTTACTGATCTTACTTCATCTGACATGGGATTATCATCAGCTTTAAACTGGTCTAATCAAATAGCTCATAATAAGTATGTTGTCAATATTAAACATTGAAATAGTTTTATTTTTAAATTGTCTTATAAACTAATGATATAATTATTTGATTTTAGTAATGGAATGTCGCATTTGGGTGTACCTAATTCACCCCCTCCTTCACAGTCTCCAAATTCTGTCCGGATAAAAAGTGAACCCAACTCGCCGCCTCATTTACATCACCATACATCTGCACCATCATCAACAGCAGCTCCTAACACTGTTGTGTCACATTCAATTAGTCATTTATCATTGCCACATGCACATTCGTCAATACCATCTCATCATTTGTCAGTAGCAGGTAATTACAAAAATATGCTAAATTTCTATTGATTTTACTTAAAATGTACCTTATTTTGCTTAATTTTAGAACGTTTTATACTAGGTGGACAGATACCTGGAGGAAATCAAGGTCTAGTAGATTCTAGACACGAGTTTGATGGTGGTCCGCCACCAAAGAGATTACGTGACACTTGGCCCACATGACTAAATTGTTGAGTTAGCCTACATCACAGAAATCTTCTATCCTCTCCAATGTTTTTCGTTTTATGAAAAATATACATTCTGTTCATTCATCTCATGACACAACATAGGACAACTTGTATTTAGTGTATATTACATTACATTTTTTTCTTCTCCCATCTGTTTGTTAATATTTTTTACCCCTGTTATAACTTAGTAACATATCTATATGTTTTTCAATTAGTTGACAAATAAATATTTTTGTAAATATATATATTTAAAATCTTATGTTTGTCAGTGAATGGGCTGCTAAACAGTAAATAAATACAATTTTAAAGTCTAGTCCCTTTCAATAGTATAATATAATACATTTGTGCATAAATAGGCTATAATTACTAGTCAATAAAACAGTAAGAAAATGATTTCAAACTACAATCTTGAATATAAGTGTTATGTTTGATATTATTAGCATTCAAGTGTTACGTATAAAAAATTTATATTGTATTGGCCAAATTGAAAATTTAGACTAAGTATATAATATAATTTTAATTGATACTAACACTACTTTTAAACTAGAATGTTTTATTTTCTTTCCTTTTTTTTTTTAAATAACAGTTTGAAATAATTTAATTTAAATATGAAATATTTATGTACATTGTGTGATCATTCAGAAGTTAAAAATAATATATTTATTTATAACTATAAAAAATAAAGACTACTATATATGTAAATTATGATTTTTATTTTGACTTTTATGTATTTTTTTTATATTTAAAATATATTGGTAAGATTTTGATATTTAAATTAATTGTATCCATTGATATGTGATGAAAGCAAATCATACTTTTATGTGTATTTTCATTAACATCATCATTTTCATTAAAAAAAAATAGTAAGCGATGACGATAATAAATGTTCGCTATCATATTGTTGTTAAATCAAGGTTTGATGATAATTTTTAAAACATAAAAAACAGTTATAAAAATTATTTTGTTAGTATATAAGCATGTGCTATGTGTACAATTTTTGTATGGTGCCATTTATAAATATTTTTAATCTGCTCTAAAATATTTTTTACTGATCTTATTTTATTGTTTTGTTACTAAGCGGTTTGGTACTGTTTGTTTGCGAGATATTTATTTATTAGGCTCAATTTTCTATTTACATGTATACCATTGTTTGCATATTAAATAATTATACATACTCTCATGATATGTTAAAATATTGAATAGGGCGAAATATATTACCACTAAAAACTACATTTGAGAGCTTATGTAATAATTAATATTATTGACCATCGTAACATTAAACAGGGTTTGTTAAATGAAAAGTTAAAAATTTAAAAGGGTTTACAACGAATATAATATAATTTAGTTTTTTTCTATTAATTTGAATTCACTCATTATCTTTATAGAAATATGTACATTTTCATTATTTATTATTATATTATATATAGTTTTTTTGTTAAATTTTAAAAAGTGTATATTTTATGTGTACTGATGACTGTAAATTAATATTAAAAGATATATATAAATATATATAATGATATTGTAGTGCATGTTTGTTAAAAAAAGTTACTTTGTAATTTTTTTTTTTTTTTTTTTTTTGTAAAACAAATTACTCATTTTGTTGTTATGTAATATTGTTTTAAATAAATCTTAAAAGAAGCACAGTAATATACAATTTTTATTTTTAAGTTGATCGATATTTGTACGAATATTTTTAGAATTGTTTGTTTTTTTTTCTAACATTTAACATATAAATATAATATAATTCGTTATATAGAGATTGGCGAGGCCGCAAGTGCAATAAAATTATTTATTATACTTTGTAAAAGTTTAAGTTGAAGATAAAGAAATCACATTTACAGTTTTATTCATAGGGTTTATTTTGTTTTTTTTTCGTTTTGTCATTTGTAAATTGATTGCCAAAAAAATATACGCATAATATTTGTACAATACATAAATTTGTATTGTTTTTTAATTAAAACACACATATATGTGAATTGTATTTTCCTTTGTGTCGTTTAACCTATGCTTGTGTATGTGTGACGACGTCCTTTTTAATTTCGTTAAGTAAAATGAACTAATACACCACACCCACGAAAAACCAAAACCTTTCATGTCGTGTGATCATTTTGCTACTAACGTGTATGTTATGTCAAAAAGACTACCATTTTGTTCGCCTAATTATTAATCTGGCACAGTGTGCACGGAAATGGGCAACAAGGTGGTCACGTTTACAGAAGCGCAGCTGGAAGATTATCAGGTGAAAAAGTATTAGAATTATTTTAACTACATCCCTTTCATAATATTGGACAGGGAAAATAGTTAAATTTATTTCTAAGGTGCAACTAGGAAGTGTTGGTTCCCTTCAAAGATAAAAAAATTTTTATATATTTATATAAAAAAAAGATTTTAGGGTGGACGAAAAATTAACGTAGCACACTCGAATATTTTTTTCTAGTTGCGCCTATGATTGAATATATAGAACACAATAATTTGATAAAGACAATCGGCAAACTTATCCCTGTTGTTTATATGTGACTGTTTTGGTAACATTGATCTTAAAGATAGTCAATATTGGCTTCGATATCAAACAATAGTCGTTAACGTTAGAATTATTACATAAGTATTGTTACATCATTTTTATTGTATTTTAGAAAATTACGATATTTTGTTTCAATTATTCGTTAATTATATTTACATTTTATTTCAAATAATCTAAAGGGACCAGACGTTGAAATTTAGGGCATTATAATTTTAATTATATACTAAGTATTTAACGGATGGAAGGTAGGGAAATAAATATTAGAAGTAATGTCATATAAAAACATAATTTAAGAGATGTTCACAAATTTATTTTTTACTTCAAAATCTAATTAATGATTGTAGGCCTTGGGCTAGTTCTAAAAATTATAATTAAAATCTTGTTTGTTCTTTTTATTAAATTTGTATGATAGGTGAGCTTTTACTTTATGAATTTACTCTGACGGTAAGAAGATTCAGTTTCAGAGCTATGATTAGTAGGTTTCTGGACAAATTATAAATACGGAGCCCCAAACTTATAATCAAAAATCTTTTATAATAATAATTTTTTTTTGTGGGGCCCTAGACGTACGCCTCATTTGTCTTGCTCTAAATCCGCTCGTAGGATGATCTGATAATTTTGATTGTGTTATTTGTAAACTATGTATACTGTCAAAACTTAGGCACAAATAGATTCCTATAAATACATTAATGGTTATTGTATTTAAGGCATTATAATGGTTATGATGCACTTATCACAGGCGGATCAAAAAATTATTCAGGAAAGAATATAAATACAAGTTATATTATTTTTTAGTAAATTAATTATTAATTTAATGCATAATATATATTTATACAATGTTTAAAACTCTTTTTTTTAATCGAAAGGGGGAGTCAACTTATTTTAAGGGTTCTCATTTTATTACAAGCAATCAATTGTAAAACAAACCGATAAGTTCAGAATTGGCTTGGCCATACATGAATTGTTCACTAATAAAAATTACAGATGTTATAACACTAGCATACCTTAGATATACTGTAAAGTTTTATAAAGTTTAATTAATTAATTTGAAGATATTTCGAAAGAAGGCGATGGTCAATATGAGTAAAAAAAAATGTGCACTTTTCATTTCAACGAATGCAATTAAAACGGTAATTATTCATTAGTCATTTTACCGGATCATTTTATGCGGATTCATCAAGATACACAATGAATAATTGTAGTCGAGTAAATTCCCTAAATAAAAATTATTGTCTTAGGTTAATAGGTTGTACGAGTACGTTTATTTTTAGAAATTCACAGCGATGAAATTTTCAAAGCCCAGCAAAAACGAATATTTATGTCTAATTATAAAATGTAACAAGAACTGTTTTCATTGCAAGCGTAATTGTAGTGTAAGTGTAATTGTAATCGTATGTTGACTGCAAAAACAGTACTGTAACGTGTGTGCTGCAAAAAATATGATTATATCATCTTGTACTGGAAAGGATTATATTATTGTCTGTTTTAGATTTTATAGGTTTCTTTTTTTCTATAGGACTGCACTTTTTTTACCAGGAAGGAAATATTGAGGTAAGTGTGCGCACACGTGTGTGTCGACCATCTCGTATTTGCTTGTGTGTATATATGTATACTATGTGTGCATACTGAATATTGTTATTTATTATTATTTTTGCTATAAATCATTGGCGGGGCTGTCGGATGGGGTTTTTTCTTCCTGCACAACTTCACACATGCGTTTGAAACTTTTACTTGGGATATTGAGGTGAATGCACCCGCCGGTCTTTTTATTTCGTTTAACAGATTGCACAAAAGGTCGACAATTTCAAATACTTCTAAGTGTTTTATACGAGTGTGAACGTAAATTCACAATAGTTCAGAAATGAAACTTCAATTTTACTACAATAGTTTTGTTGAAGAACTTGACAATAATTTAAAAGCAAATCGAATACTTCAATAAATGAAAAATAATTTTTAGTTTGACACGTATTAGTTTATTGCAATTTTAAACACGATAATTTATTAGAATTATTAATATTAATGTTTAAACACATCACTGACCAATTTATTTATTTTGTTATTGATAATTCATATATTTATACCAATTATAATACAATTTATACACAGTATCTATACAAATTGTGTATGCAATTAACTAAAATTCTGTTAGGATTTTGAGTATTGATCGATATAATTTTACTTGTATAACGCAAAAGTCACATTAATATAAAACATCCGTGCAGAATCGTATTTATTCATTTTTTAACTTAGCTACATCGTTATTTCATTAGCACACAACTTTTTTCATCATATCATACATAAAACTGATACACTAAATACAATATCAGAAGACGGAAATGATTACTTCCACTGCCTTCCTAAAATACCAGGTCCGGACCTCTTTGGCTCTAAAAAAAGTTTTTTCATGATAACTGTTCACAATAGTTTTATTACAATACAAATAAAAACTGCTAGCGATAAATAAAATTAATAATTAATATTTATTGTATAGTTGATAATGTTATAATTATGTAACTATTTTAAATAACTATTATGAGTATAATACTCATTGTACTCAGTGTATTTATATATATATTATATTACAAGGGTGTACAAACGATACAGAGCTATTTGCCCGGAAGTAGTGCCAAAAAAAATGACAGGCGACGAACCGGTGAACATTCAAGTACCGCAGGAATGTATCGAACAACTACCGGAACTCAAAGTGATTTTTTTGCTCAAAACAATTTTTTTATCGAATTAATATGAAAATGTTCACATGTTACAGGAAAACCCGTTCAAAGCGCGTATATGTCAAGTTTTCTCTAAAGAAGGTAACGGTTCATTGAGCTTTGAAGATTTCTTGGACTTGTTATCTGTGTTCAGTGAACAGGCACCCAGGGATATCAAAGTGTTCTACGCTTTCAAAATTTATGGTAACTATTCTTATTTAAAAATTAATTATACAAATTAAAATATAATTAAGAAGTTATTTGAAACTCATATCAATCATGTAGTGTAGGAACTTAGAGTCGAGTGGCTGACTGAGGCCTCGAAGGCCTGGACGGAAAAAGTTTTTAGGGATATTTTTGCTCACTAGGCCTACTTAACAAAAAAATGTATTTTCTTTGATAAAAAAATAAAACTCCAGTCCAATAATAAAAAAAGTTATCCTTTTTCTTATTTATGAATAAGAAATATAAAAGGCATTGCATTAACGACTTTACTTGAAACTTCAAAGTTGATTCTAGTACCCAATCGAGGATCGCTTTTTGTCCTCCCCACCAGTTCTCACCTTTATACTGTCACATTATTATAACGTACCATTGATATTTATAAAGATTTCGATGACGACAATCACATCGGCCCGTCAGATTTGGAACAAGTATTAAAACTTTTGACGAGGGGTCAACTTACCACGGAAGAAATGGCACAGGTATGCGAGAAGGTAATCGAAGAAGGAGATGTGGACGGCGATGGAAAACTGTCTTATATGGAATTTGAACACGTCATTTTGAGGGCACCAGATTTTCTGGGAACTTTTCACATTAGAGTTTAAATTTACTATAGAATGTACACAGATACACATAATGTACAATAAAAAGTTTCAAATAATTTTACTAACAATAATTTCAAAATTGTTTGTTTATTAGTCTAAAAAAAGTATGTACACTATTTTAATAAATATTATGATTACACTAGTCAAAAGAAATTTTATAATTATATAAATTGAGCTTTTCTTTTTGATACATAAATGCTTTTTATTAAATTTATTAACCAAATAGTTTGTAATTAAATACTTGTTTTTATAATAAACTATGGTTTTTTTATCGATGACAGGTAAGTAGGTTTAGTAATAAAGTTAACAGAATGTAAGGCATTAACAGTTGTTACCGATTATATAGATATAAAAAGTGAACTTAAATATTTTAACTAAAAAAAAACAACTATACAATAGAAAAAATGTATTAATAATTAATCATCATTATAGTATTATTATACATTATTGAACACACAGATTAAATAAGTATACAATAGGATTACAAGTATTATAATAATAATAATAATAAACTATTGTTGCGAGTGATTTGACACGTACCGCTAATAATTCGATTATTTAACAAAAACACAACGGGTTTTTTACATGGAAAAATAATACATTAGATGTATTCATCGTATATAAATAATTGTCGTACGCTATGCATGTACCTAAACACAAAAAAATTTAAGTAACTAAAAATTAGAATGTTTTCATATAAACTTATTATTTAATCAATAAAAAAAAGAAAAAGGTTTATACGACGGACGTCAAACGATTTCAATGAGTTATGTGTTATCATTATTAAGTTGATAAGCGTAATCTAAAGTCATTAATACATAAAAAAAGGTAAGTCCGTTACTCGTTGAATTTGACTAGTTCATTTTATACAAATTATTATAAATTAAATATAGTAAAAAAACACTTTACACCACTGTGGTTTTATACAACACGAGACAGAGTCGACGAGGCGCTCTTAATGTTACACCCAATACTGGTTCCGCCTGAGCATGGGGTTGTTTTGTTCCGTACCGTCGGCGCTGCTACTGCAGTACTCTTCGTCGGCGGCACCATAAGGGTACCTCATGTTGAATTCTGTGGTGGAAGAATCGGGTTGATCCGCGCGATCGGGAGGACCCAACGCTATGACCTTACAGCCGTTGCCGTTCTTATTATTGCCGGATAATGGCGTGGACATTAAATCGTCCGGTGGACAGGGCAAAGGCATGGGATTCATTTTGTCTAGTTCTTCCGCCTGTTTTTTGGACCGGCATCGCACTAGTACAACGATGACCAGCGAAGCGACCACTACAGCCATTATGAACCCGACGCACAACAAATAGTCGTCGCTTATGTTAGGGCTGGCCATGTCCACTCTGTAGCCGTTGCGGTTCGACTTGTTGACGGATAACGTCGCGTTGGACTGCTGTTTGGTAGAGACCATGACCGTCGTCATGGACGGGTGGGGTGTACTTGAAGGTGGCTCGGCCACGGATATATGAAACCGGAGTTCACCGATAGCCGGTTGCACGCCGTCGGCCGTGAGCATGAAAGGAAAGCTGTCCTCGACGGGATCCAACACCTTTTTGGCTGCAAAGTATACGACACCGCTGGCAATCTCGCCATGCGTGAACTGCATAACCTCCTCTTCGCGTTTTACTACCATGTCCCCTGATCGTCTGACGATCCTTTTTAACTTACCGTACTTGGGCTTTTTTAGGATTTTGTACTTGGGATCCGAATTGGTAGTTTTGGCCAGCATTTCGGCATTTAGCACTTGCACGCCCAATTGTGATTTCAACCCGGTCAACGGATAAAACGCGCCCGTTTTCACCAGTGGCTCCACGCTTATATTCAACCAGAGGTTTCTGACGACCGGCGATTCCTCACAATGCATTTGTGCGGACAATCGTAGGGCGTCTGCGGGTACGGTCGGGTCAGTCTGTCGATAAACTACACGGCCTTCCTTCAGGTCCTTGTGAGAGAAAAATTTCGATTTTGTGCCGTTCACATACACTACTCCGTGTCTGGGACTCATAGTAATGTTATAGGCCACGGAATCCTTATCGCCGTTGGTCTGCACGTAGAACAGTTTTTCTTTTACAATGGTATCGTACGTCCCTTGTAGTAGTGGTAACGGTAATGTAACGGAGGCATTCAATGTAACTGGTATGACGTATATCTGGAAAACTTTATAGACTGGATTGAACTGACCGTCCCACACGCGGAAGTAGAACGATGTTGGCTTTAGTTGTCCGTCGTGCTTGTACACCACTTCGCCGGCGTCTATGTCAGCTTGAGTGAATCTCATAGAGTTTTTAATACCTGCTAGGTAGAGTGTCCCATAGGCAGGTCCTGTTATGATATCATAAACTATTTGTTCGGGAGGCGTATCTGGATCTTCTGTCAAAAGTTCTGATCTCGTTAGAGATACGGATTGTCCTTGGACCAACTTCAAATTAGGATAGGACTGAGTCAAAAAGAATGGTTGATCGTTAACTGGTAAAATGCTAACTGGTACGGTCACATTGCACAATGGCACAGCTGTAGGATCAACATCCAAGTATACAGAAAAGTCTAAACTATCTGATAGAGTATCGGAATGATCATGAACATATCTAACTTGATTACGACGCATATGACCTTGAGAGAATGTACGTCGATTACAGTCGTCATCAAGGCAAAGATGTCCATGTTTTGGCTCATTAATCAAGTCGATCTTAATTGTCGGTGATCTAATACCAATGCTATTGACCAAAAATGTTAAAATGGCTGTTGTGTTCAGGTTAACTATTGAAGATTCTCCTTCTTTAACTACAAGTTCTTTAGTTTTGTCCCCAATTAATAACTCTTCAAGACCACCAGAAGAAACTGTAATCTCTACATTGAAAGTCTAAAAATAAAAGAATAATTTGTTCATAATTTTGATTTATAGTGTTTAAAGTAATTTTAAGTATAGAAAAACTCTTAGGGCTGTTTTAACAATATCACACTAAAATTTACATAGCTACCAGCGGACCTTTAGCAGATAGTTTAGTACAAATTGTTTTTACAATGTTACCGTTAGTGTTAACTGTCAGCTAAACTATTTCAAATGTAACGATAATTTTAATTGGGTTATAAGCTGTTATGATTCAATAGTAACGAATTTAAATATTATCATTTCGTCAGTTGTTAATTTTATTACATTCTTATCATATATGATCTGCCGAGTATCAATTGAGATATAATTTTTTATTATTTCATTTAAAATAAATAATGAGAAAAGAAAATGGCAGCTCAATTTCTTAAACTAGGAGGACCTTTTAGTGAAATATGTCATAGAAAATAGCATATAATTTTTGCGTAATTTAATATAATGTTCAATATTTATTAAATTTTTTCTTTATTTATTAATAAATTGGTTTTTAACACATATAATCATAATAATACATATTCCTAACACATAGAATATATCTACATATTAGGTACAAATGTTTTTAATAACTTTTTACAATAACCTTATATGTTAACAATTTAAAATATTCAATTAGACTAGAATCAGATTCAATAAATAGTTTCGATTATTTTTTTTACATAAAAAAAATGAACTCTGTTCAAAATATAATATCATCAAATCTGCAAGACTACCTAAAGGCTGCATTAGTCTGTCTTAAATGACTTAGGAGGAATCTGGAGTGAAAATTAATATTTAGAACATACAAAAACTGTTAAAACACAAGCCTACATTTATTTGAAATCCTATATATATATATATATATATATATATCCTCTAGTTCTAATATTAGTTAGTATTTATTAATCTTAAATAAAGATATTTTATTAAAATGACATAATATATTATTATTATATTATATATATATTATTATATTATATAATATATATAATATAATATATTATTCAAATTTTACTTCATTTTAACTGAAAGTAAAAAATATTCAAATAAATAAATTATAAAATTTACAATATGATAAAACCAGAATAATCAATGTTAATTCTGATCCTCAATGGATTCTAGACACTAAACTACCTAACAGGGACCTTAACCTCCTGCTAAATAAAGTACCCACTAATTATGAGGTAGTGGTAACATTTACACTTGTGAGATAAAGTAAAAATAATATTTGATAAACTAAATGCTAAAAACTGCTAAACTAGCAAAAATTTTACCGTAATATTGTAAAACATTAAATTTGTGATGTTTAACTACCTGATTAACAATTGAAGTTGCATGTTCACAAACCACATCAAATGTAAAGACATCATTTGTAGTATTACTAGAGAAATATTTTGAAACATGATGATACCAGATAGCTGAGTCATTTACATTAGTTTGAGTGAAATTTGTTATAGCTAGTTGATTTGAATCTTCATAAGAAGCACTTTTTGATATAATACCATATCTAGGTGAATTTCTTATTACATACATAACAAGATAATTAGGATCATCACACTGGGCCATCAGATGTTCAGCAGTCAATTGTCGTCCAAGCATAGGAAATACTCGCAATGGATTATTAAATAATAACTTTACTGATGCTTGTTCAGCAACCACATGGAATTTTATAATATTAGTAGAATATATTCCATCACTAGCTGATAATTCTAATTCTCCATCACAAAATTCTCCAGAATGTTGGAAATTAACAATACCTTGATCTATTTGAGCTTGAGTGAATCGTTCAACTCTTTGAGATTCTATGATAATATGACCACATCTTGAAGATGTTATTGCAAAAGTAAGGTTTGAAACATCAGTGTCCTTATCTTCAGCAGCTAAAATGAAAAGTATTTAATTTAATTTATTCACAACAATTAAATCCTTAATAATTAGAATTTATGATAAATTATCACATCATTATATTTTTAATTGATGTTAAAATTTATTATAGTAAAAATTCATCATACCTAAGTTATCAGATGTAATTAAACCAAGACCTCCTTTCCATACTTTTATACCAGTATTTCTTAATATAGATGGTTTTTGATTGTTTACTGGATTCACTTTAACTTCAATATCCACCGGAGCACTTTCTTTTTCATCAGATACAGCTACTTTAACTGAAAATATATCATCTGTACTTTCTGATCCATCATGTACATACTGAAACCAATTGAGATTTTGTTTGATATACAACAAAAGTGAAAATTCAAGCATCTAATTAAAAATATATACCATTATCTGAGCTCTAGCTAGCTGTTTGGGGCTCCAAAAATCAATAGTTGGATCAAATGAATCTGCAGTTGTTCTAACAATACGTCCATGGTTTGGGGGACTAACTAGAGAGTAACGGGATATTCTATCAGTATAGTAAATACTAGCAACAGGAAATGTGTCACTTGACAATGTAACATTTCCTCCTTCAATAACATTTAATTGAGAACTGGTCAAGTAGACGTTTTTTGGAACAATAACAAAACTTATCTATTTAATAATATTTAATATTACTTTTTTAATTACTCTTTAACTTTTATGTTATTAGAACCAAAATAATTTTTAAACTTACTACAAGACCATACAAAGAAACTACTCCATTTGTAATATCTACAACAAGTCTATCAGTACTCTGATTCATTGTAGATTGGACATAGTATAAATGACCATTGTTTATAAGACTTTGATTGAATGAAGTTAAATGGTTATTTTCTAGATTATTAGGATCTTCTTCATTAAATTCTTTTTCCAGATATCCAAAGCGGGGTTGCTCTTTAACAAGATACATTATATCTGATGGCGGAACCATTTCTTGTTTTACTTCCAAATACTGCTTAGTAATTGCAATGGTAGTAGATTCATCCACAACAATAGGAGAATTTTTAGTCACTACAAGTGGTTCCCAATAATGCTGAGGTAAAAGTCTAATATCAAAGTCGATTTCTCTGTATACAGTATTACCAGCTGAAACTTTAAATAATACACGATCACGTATACTTTCCACATCACCGTTATGACGATAACGAACATGCCCAGCTTCAAGTTCTGCTTGACTAAAAATAGAAGTTTTCAATGGCTCCAAATTAGTTCCCAATTCAATTTCTCCTTGACCTGGACCTTCCATTACTTGATAACTAAAAAGGATGACAAATAAAACATTAAAATATAAATTATAGTAAATATCATAAAATTTACTTACTTAATTTTATCAGAATGTATGTTTAAATTAGTATCAGCATAAAGATGATTAGTAGTTATGGTAGCAGCACCACCTTGTCTTAACATTAGTTGAGAATTATTTAAAACTTTAATAAATGGAGGTGATGACTCAACTTGTAGTTTAAGATCAATAGAATGTTTTCCATCAAAAACACCAAGCTCTACAGCACTAATTCTGTTTTGTTTACTATTATCTGAAGATTCATCACGATAAATAAGACTTCCACTATTAACATCTTCCTGTAATTTATTTATAAACATAATATAGTAATATACACTATTAACTAGTAAAAATGATAACATTTTTATTTTACCTGAGTAAATTTCATAACAGTTGTAAAAGGATTGTTTATAGTATTAAGAATCATACCATTTGAAATAGAATTTATAGTAAATATAAGTGAAGTAACTGGAGTATCAACATCTTTGTCTTGGCACTGTAGATTACGACTAGTAATGGTTCTGTCACTTCCAGATACAACACGCAAATTTTCTTCAGTTTTGCAACTTGGTGGGTTGTCATTAATTAATAATACAGATACATTAACTTGACCTACATACTAAAAATTGAACAATAGAAATAAGTAATTTTTATGCAATAAAGTAAGCTCAAAAACCTACTTGAAAGTTAGCATTTTTTGATGTTGCCAAAAATTTAAAATAATCTCTATTATTTTCTGATCCATCATGTGAGTAGGACAATGTACTGTCATATAAATCATCTTCAGTAAAAACTGTGACATTTTTTACTGTGTTGTTATTTATTAACAAATGTAAATAACCATGTTCTGGACCAGTTAAAATTTCAAAACGTAATTGATTAACACCAACACATTTAATTGATATATGTTTATCAGTAAGAGGGGATGAACTGCCTTCAACAACATCAAGAGGATGAATAAAAGCTGATACTGCTTGAGCTAATAGCACACTAGGTGTATAATCAAATATCAGAAGTTTAGTAACTATTGGTTGACATCTCGGTGCACTAATTTTCACATTAAAAAAATCTGTAGCTGAAGAATATGTATCATGATGAAGTTTTATAGATAAAAGACCAGATTCTACATCATTTTGAGTCCATAAATCACCATCTATTAAAGGATTATTTCTGAAAATTTGAAACAATATATAAATCGCAAAGAATAGAAAATGATAAAATAAAGAAAAAATTAATATAACTGAGCATTATTTATTTACTAAACAGATCATTATTATTAAATATTATGACAAAAACAATTTTGGATTATTCATAAGTGTAAAATAAAAATTATAATATCAAAATATAATGACTTATTATTATAGAAATTAAATTTCTAATTAACTTTATTAGTGCTATCAAAACTAAGAATATCTACAAATGGGTGATGGATTTCTGTGTAATATACATATTTTAATATATATTTTAAAACATGTATCCTGAGATCAAGTTTTCTACAGTATTATAATAATATTTATTGATTATAACTTTGAGTTATTTATTAAAATCAATAACTGATTAATTTGAAAATTTATTTTATGATGACAATTTATTATTAACTTATTTTAGTAGTAATTTAATTAAATTTATATTTGTAATAAATAATATCAATTTAAAGGTTAATTCACCTTAAATATAATGATGCAGTATGAGAAGTCTTAATTAGTTCAAAAACAATTGAACTAGGGTGTAATAATATAGGATGAGTTTGAACCTTGATTGATTTACTAGTAACTACTGTTTCACTAGATGCATTCCACTCAATTGGACCAAAAATATCAACTATCAGATGTACTTCAACAAAATTTAACTCAAACTTATAAGTATCTCCTAATTTGACTTTTCCAGCCCAAACTTCAAACTAAAATATATATTAAAATTAAATAAAACTCTTATATTTTAAATAAAACTTAAAAAACACCTTAAATAAGTCTCGTGTAGGTGATCCTTCACTATTATGAACATAACTAACAAGTTTTTTTTCTAATTGATGACTATTAAATAAATTTATTTTATCTTGAGCACGTTCTCCATCAACTAATTTTAATGTTCCAAACTTTGGATGTTTGACAATCTAAAATAAAATGTCAGTTAGTATGAAAATTATAATACACTAAAGTATTAGTCAAAAGTTTTAATTTAAAAACCTAGGATATAGTAATGCTATACAGTTATACAACTTTTTAAAAATAAATTAATAAATTATGATATGAAATTTTTAATGCATAGATCAACATATGATTTAAAACACCTCTCTATATTTAATATTATGCGTTATATTGAATAAATTTAACTCGAGTCTGAAAATCTACTAATGTAGCTATGAATACATAGAAAAATTGATATAAATTAAGTTAGTCATTCAGTTAGTATTATAATTTTTACAAGGTTATAAGTGTTTCATGAAAGAAAATTATAAGGAAAACATAACATCACATTTTTTTCCATCAATATTAATAGTAAACATTAAGAAATGTTTACAAAATTTGAGATAGATTTACTTAAAATTACCAAAACTTTAACAAGTACTGTTAAATGAATGTCACATTTATTTTATTACCTTAAATGATAATTCTAATGAAGGATCATCACTATTTGTTATAAATGTCAAATTTGTTGGTGCAATAATAACTGATGATTTGTATGCTAAAATAGCACCGGTATTTTGAACATAGGTCAAGGACAAAGTATATACAGAAATTTGTACAGTTGTGATTGCACTTGTTTTCTCACCATCTGATACCTATAAATTAATTAATTAAATTTTGTTTTGTTATTAATATACAAGAAAAATACTTTCAACTTACTTGAAATGAAAAACTAAAATTTCCTGTATCATTAGATGTATGACGATAGCCAATAAAACCATTATTCATTTGAGCAACAGTAAATGTTTCTAGTTTTACTCCAGGATTGTCTAAAATTTCTAAATTACCTCCACTTATATTCAATACCGATATAATAAGTCTTTCAGTACTTGAATCTTTGTCAATCACCAATATTTTGTCTTTATCAATTACCTTCCAAGTTCCCTATAATTATTAGTTATTAACTTGATGTCTATTATAAGAAATCATATTTATCTACTTACAAAATCACTAAAAATCAAAATAAAACTCATTATGAAGAAATGTAGCTGCATGCTAAATTACTTAATATAAACTAAAAACAGTGATAAAAAAATTATCTTTAAGCATTACAAAAAACAACACAAAAATATAAGCATTAATTTTATTGGTAAAAACAAAAATATGAAAACTAATTTGTGATAAATTATGAATAATTACTTGAGCTAAGCGCATATTATAATCAGGTGATAGTCGAACTATTGGTGTATCATTTTCAGGTGTAATGTTAACAGGTAAAACAAATCTTTGTTGTTCTTGTAGGTAATCTGGTAATACTAAACCTTCATTTGAAAAAAATTCTAAGTCAAGAGTTACTGAATCCTGAACACTTTCTGATCCATCATGTACATAATATACCTAAATAATGATGAAATTATATTAATAATAATTTAAATGTATAAATTTATTTACTAAAACATAAATTATTGATATTATGATTTGGCATGATCTGTTTAATTACATAAAAATACATAAATGAATCCAAGTTTTATAAATTGTATCCATAAAATTTTGTTCTTTACAAATTGAAAAATTTTAAAATTGATAATTTTTAAATAAACTTTTTCAGATTAAAATTATTTATATTCTATTAACAAATTTTTACTTCATTTTTTAAAATATTCAACATGTTAAATGACGTCACTGAACTTCCTGTTATTGATTTAGAATTTATAAGTATTTTTCCATGTTTAGCGTAAGGTTGAACAATATTGAATAAAACACCAGATTCTTTAACACCATAATGATTATAGTCCATGATAAGATTTATTGTTGATGTTGTAATATTAGATGTAGATCCTTCAACAACAATTAAATTATTGACTGACAATACTTCAATAGCAATTACTAATGGTATTTTTAACATTGCCTAGAAAAAAAAATATTAAGAAAGTTAATGAAATTTAACTAATTAAATATTTAAATATAATGATTTTACTTTATGAGTATCGATAAATTCTTGACGAACACACTGTGGATCATTGAGATCTACACAACCAGTACACTTGAAAGAATCAATTCCAATAGGAGAACAACCAATGTCAGGTGAATGTACACATGGTTTTTCAGTACAAGGGTATGACCAAACACATCGTGAAATTAATTTAGATGTATCAAAAGCATCTGGTAGACCAAGTGCACGTCCATCACTTGAAATACCACGAATACATCCTTTGAAGCTGTTACTAGCTGATAACATACCGGTAGCCAAAGCTCCACTTCTCATATTAACTTCTAATCCACCAACATAAAGCTAAAAAATTTGAAAATTTTAGCCAATCTTAATCATAATTAATTTTTTTAAAAACATACAATTGATGAAAGATCTAGATGTTTAGAAGGTTGAACTGAGTTGTTAAATGCTAATCGATATCTATGTTTTGGTGCATCAATAGTCACATCAATTCCCCCAGCTTCCATTGCTACATTTATAGAATGCCATACACCATCATTTATATTAACTTCAGATAGTAACTCAGAAACTCCAGAACCCCAATTTTGAGCAACACGAACTTTTCCATTAACAAGTTCTACACCTACAAAATCTACATTTGTACTATGTCTTCCTACAGTAGTACTCTTTTTAGAATTGTAAAGAATTAAGCCAGTTTCAGCTATAGTTTTGATAGAAAATTGCCACCTAAGAACAATATTTCAGTATAACTGTATTTATTTAAATACTAATAAAACAATCTACATACTTCACATTTGTTCGGGACGTTAAAACACTAGGTATTGCCATATAAGCACCATCTTCTAAAAATGATATACTAGCTTCTCTAGGTGCATCAAATTCATTAACACAGCTCCATGATACTGCATGAGAATCTGCTCTACCTATTCTCCAACGTGCTCTACTTAAAACATCCGGAACTGCATTATAACGAACATCTCGTAAACAACCACGCAATCCATTTGTATGACCCAAAAATAATTCGGAAAAATCACCTTGCCCACCAATGTACAATCCACCATACATATTTAATGCATAGAATCCAACTGGTAATTTTTCTCTATAGCAATGGAAAAGTTACATTTTAATTTGTATTAAATTGACATTATCTTAATTATTTTATCTTTTACCTGACAACATGTATTTTGTCAACAGCTAAATTTAAATCACCATCTTTACGTGAGATATTCACTGTATGCCAATTTAAATCATCAAGTCGAAGTCCTCTTGGAGATGATATTTCAGATTCACCAGCTCCAAGATTGATTTTTACCTTAAGTCTTCCGGCTTCTAGTAATACAAAACAGTAGTCTGTTTTGCCAGCTGCTAAAATAAGAAAAGCGTCCAAATGTTTTGTTCGAAATGCAAAACTTATATCAGTCATAGTCTTGGCATCTTGATACGGCACAGTCGCATAACTCGATCCATAGAAGGAAGCTAAAAATTAACCCAAATTATTAAACAGATTTAAAAAATAATTTGTAAAAGTAATCCAAATCGATAGTAATATTATCAAACCAAATCATAGTTAAGTTTAACAATAGTTCATCACTCACCAATCTCTGTAGAACCATAGTGTATAAAAGCACACAGGCCGATCAAAATTAGGAGGTTCGAACGATACTTTATCGATAACAACATTTTAATGGAGTCATTAATAATTATAAACCACTTAAAATAAAAACATTATTGGAAGAAACCCGCCGATGACGTGAGACGACAACTACGATCGGCGCCGCAGATGGCACAAGTTAAAAATACTACACAAACGCCCATAACGCACTTACTCACCCCTCATTATTCATTAACCCAGCTTCCGACTTCTTTTAAAACAAATGATTAATTTGTCTAAATTTAGACTTTTTTCTCTTATCATAGCTTCATAGCAAGGGCTACACGGATGTTGTTCCTGTTGTGTTATTGTACCTATTCATTCGCTCCTATTCGGATCAATCCCTTGGAGATAAAAACTAGTAGATATGTTTTACTTTCCATGACCCATCGTATGACTCGTTCACCGGTTACCTTAAATCCCTTCGTGAAACAAATTAATTCTATATATTTTGTTTTAGGATATTATAACAAATTAAAACTTATTTGCCAATTATTAGTACACTGCATATCTGTATTCATCTTGGATAATAATAATTTATAATTTTTTAATTGTTTTCTTTAATAATAAAGAATGTATTAATATACTTATTACTTATCATTTGTTTTGTGTTTAACTAAGCAAAATATTTTTTAATTATCATAAAATGTTTAATTCAAACTATATACATTTATTTATAGACAATATCTTACAACTTGTGGGAATAATAGTTGTATTAGAAATGGTATAACAGCGGTACTCACTACCCGGCACCTCAGAAAATTTTGTGCAGTTCGTGTTAAAATTAATTTTCTGAGGAGTACACTAGAGAGAATCGGAGTGATTCTTTAGTATGCGGTCTGTAGTAAATTTTTAATATTTATATTTAGTATGTTCTAAAAATCCTAGTGAGGATTGCTCTGCTACAATTTCCCGTATTTGTGCCTACTAGTTAATCCATGGAAGGGTGCAAATGGTTGCGCTTCCTTGAACTATAGCTGTTTAGCAAAATAGTTTTTGAGCAATTAACTTTCAAGAAATTGTTTTTTAAAGACTATAAAGTTATTGTGTAAAAACATTTCATTCGTGCATGGTTGCGCATTGATAAACAATTGTGTCATCTGCATCTAAGTTTATGAGTATTGCAAGAGCGGCTTTAGTTTTTTGTCTAAAGAGGAGGAATTTTTCTTTCAATAGGATTGTGAGAAAAAAAAAAGTAAATATTTTCTAGAAAAGGATGGCACCTCAAGTCCCTCTGCCACCACTGAAGTAATGACTAATTCTATGATTTAATCAAAAGTTCTGATTCAGAACACAGTATTTTAGTTTCGATATACGTTGCCTGATCATCTTCATAGATTAGTAGAGGCCGTTTACCGCAATTTAAGTACAAATAGAAAGTTTAGTACTAAACATTATAAACATTTTTTAATAAAAAATATTATGTTTGTTTCTTAGTAGTTGTAATATTAGTTGAATACTTCGTTTTAAATTATCTATCATAGATAACCTTTTTAAAATGTTTAACTTTAATATTGACACAGTCAAATTAAATAGTTAAATTTTATTTAAATATGAACGATAAAATGTTACAAGCTATTTATGTATAATTAATAAAAGTAGATAATGCCGTTAAAAAAAATCAATGTATAGTGTTATTTATTTATTTATTATTTTAGTGATTCAAGTAACAGGTAATGTGCGCCGTTATTTAAAAATTAACATCTACATCTAAATATAATTATTCTGTAATATAAGTCGATTATTTGTCGTCGGTATTTGTAAATTAAAAATAATCTATATTTCAAAAGTACAAGTATAAGTTTTATAATATCTTTAAATCTATAGTTTTAAATGAAAAATAGAAATTGTACAGTCACTGATTAAAATAATAGGATACGGTTATTTTAATCAAAATAAATAGTTTCTTTTACTATAAATTTTTTTTAAAAATTGGCATAAATAATTGACAAATATTAATTAAATAAAAACATTTTTATACCCAACAATAATAATAAAGATAATAAGCATCAATAACCCCTGCCAATAATTATAGTAAAGTTACTACATTTTATATTTTACACACTATTCTTTTAGTTATATTTGCTAATCGTCTTCAAATTTTTGATGTTTCAAAAATAATCTTGAGGACCACAGTAAAAAATAAAAGTGATATCATTACTTATAAATACTAATATTTATAATCAATGGTTATATCGAAATTATTGAGTAAATATATCGGGATATAAAATGTTTACATCACACAATTTTTTACATGATAACAAACTAAGTAGTCTAAAAATTGTTATCTTTATTCATTCACTCACGATAATTATCATAATTATATCTTAGATAAGTATAAAATATTTGATTATAATCATTAATTACTTAGGTCTGAACTTGAATTTTATTTCCATATATTTTTATACTGATGAATTGTAAAATAGTTATTTCTAGAATATTTAATTAAAGCTTATTAATTAATATTACAATTTTCAAATTGTTAAAAAAAATATATTTTTAGGAAATGTCACCAATCAATTCATTTAAAGATGACGTCAAAGAGTTACTTGAATTCGTACAATATTTTCCAGATTTTCCTAAACCAGGAATACTTTATAAGTAATTTTTCATTTGTTTGTATAAATTAAATTAGAGGTAGGTTATTATTCATAATTTTTAAATAACTCATGGAAGTCCTGTAATATAATCCTAAAACCCCAGTATATTATAATTTAAGCAACCTGTATAGTTTGGATGGGTCGCTCTTTAGGGGTGAGTTTGGTTAAGTTGGGTTCAATTTTGTTTTACAGGGGACTCATCCTCTCTTACACAGGTAGTACTATACAAGAGAAGACATTAAATAATAATATTGATTTGTTTTATATTTTTGAACAATTTAATTACTTTTAGGGATGTGCTATCTGCATTTAACAGTGCTGAGGGTGTTAATTTAATATCTAGAGTTCTTCAAAACTATGCTGAATCTTTAAGAGGAAAAGTGGATTGTGTAGCAATGTTAGAGTCACGTGGTTTTCTGTTGGGACCAATTATAGCATTACATTTAAATATCCCATGTGTACCAGTTTGTAAAAAAGGAAACTTACCAAATCCAGTTTTTGAGTTATCATATTCATTAGAATATGGTGAAGTAATGAGATTTTGAAAAATTGTGTTGTATCTGTTATGCATATTGATTCATGGAAACTGTTTATTTTAGGATACAGTGGTTATCCAACTAGGTAGTGTACAAAAAGGAAACCGTATAGTTGTAGTTGATGATTTCCTTGCTACTGGCGGTGAGTTTCTAATAAATATTTAACAACTATGATTCTTATAAATTGAAAAAATTTAGCATTTCAAATCATTTTTTTTTGTTCTCTATGTTGTACTAAATTCCCATTCTATTTCCATGATTACTGCAATAATTTTTTTTATATTGAGCGCTAGTTGTACTATTTAATTACTTTATTATATATTATAGTTTATTGCATTTACTTTACTTTTATTATACTAACTAACACCCATTATTCTTGTAATTAATACTATATTATCTTATTCTTATGTAATTGTGGAGCTATAATATTTTTATAATAAAAGCTAATAAAAAAAAAAATCATTTTTTAAAAATTACTGTCATAAGAAAGGTTTATAAAAAAAGTTGACAGTATTAATATTTAAATTTTATATAATACAATAATAATTGAATCATCACTTCTAAAAATCTAGTGATTTTGATTTGAGATGATCCTTACAAATCACTTTTTTTTTTCTAAGGTTGGAAAAATATAGAAAAAGTCACTTCATAGTTAATTTTGTTTAATAAAAAAACTACTAAGAAATTGGTATTTTTTTTTTATATAATTACAATACTTTGTAGAAAATATCTAAAATTCAGTATAATTTAATTTTTTTGCATCACTACAAATTATAAATGACACCCTTAATCAATACAACATGTACTGATAATTAAATAATTACTTCATCATTTTTATATAAATATTTTGACTAAATATGTTATTGATAAATTTAATTATTGAGAATGGATCAAGACAAAATTCAAATTTTAAGTTATGATAAGTTTTAATTTCCTTAAATTTTGAATTGATTTAAATGTACTTTATAGTATCTGCCTTTATTGAGTAAAAATAGAAAAACTGTAAACTTTTTTTAATTGAATGTGCTCTTATTAATTTACAAGCTAACATATTTCAAATTTATCACATACCAATGTATTATTTTTTGTAGTAAATACTTATATAATTGTATTAAATAATTATAATACATGTTATTTATTCCTGTTTATGTTTTTTTGAAGTTAAATTTTATATAAGTTCTATTTTTGTAATCTAAGCTAAAATTTAAGCACTGATTAAATGATTATTTCTCAGTTTGTTGGATTTCACACTTAGATTAAATATTAATAACTTGAGTCATGTCAATTTTGGTAAAAAAAGGGATTGTAATGTGTACTCTAATAATATCAATAAAAAAAGTAATCTTTAAAAAATGCTCTGACTTGAGTTAATCTAATTATTTAATAGTTTTTCTTTTAATAGGAACCCTTCAAGCAGCTACAACATTACTCAAAAATGCAGGAGGTATTGTTGTTGAATGTTTTGTTTTAATGGAAAAGTTAGAATTAAAAGGAAGAGAGAAATTAGATTGCCATATTACTTGTTTGGTTTCAGAATGATTATTTATTGTGATGACATTTTATTGTGATATTTCAAAAGTTCATTTTTACTATATTGTTGTTTGGTTATTATTATATTTTAAAATTAATATAATTTATACTATAAAAAGTACTTAAATAAACAAAATATTTGGTTAAATGAATTTTTATAAATACTAGTTTTATTATAATTTAAATTTATCAATAATTTGATAACTAAGACTATATATGTATATTGTTATGATATTTTAAGTATTTAGATAATTTAATTAATTTATAGTAATAGGTTGTTCATTTTTATGTATATGCATGATGTTGAACCATTATCTAAAAATTATATTCTAGAATATTAACTTTATGATACTGATAGTTGAGGATATTTATGAAAATATTCATACCTGTTTATCTTTTTCAAAATCAGTGTTATAGAACTTTAGTTTATATTTTGTACATATTATAATTTTGTGATGATTGATTTTATTTAACATTGACAGTAATTTAATACATTTTATTTGTTTTATATCTCAATAGTTAATTACCAATATTTTTGAGTTAAGTTAAAAATCAGCCCATGCATATATTATTCTATTTCACATTGTTTTAACTTTGAAAAATACTATTGCATGAAAGATTCGATGTAAAAAATAATAAAAGCAAATATTTTTTAACATTCGTATGCTGAATAATTGATAAAATGAAAGATAAAAGAATTTAATTGTGAATGATGAATGTTTAAGATTTAAAAATTGTAGCTCTCTAAAATGTGTAGTTCCTGGGTACGTGTACCTAAAACATTCATTGAGTGCAGTTTTTGATATTCTATAAGCAACTTTAACAAATATTATGAATTAAATTCATATTAACACTAATACTGAAAAAATATTTAAGCACATTTGCTCATGAATACCTGAAATATTGTATTTTACCAGTAAGGCACGTTATATTTTTATTTTCCCCTCTTTTTATGACGTATTTAATTACTAGAACTTGAAAATTTCTATGAAATGTTATCTCCTGGCTGATAACATTGTTGTTAATTTATCTTGTTTGTTTAATTCAATTGGATTAGATAAATAAAACATCAGTGATAGCCGTAAGAAGGATTATGGAATCTAATAACACTTACTTGCTTTTTTGTGCAAGTGCATTCATTTGGTCTATGGTTTGAACTTTTTTTTTGGTAATTATAAATATCAACTAGATTGTCAGTACTAAATATAACTAAATAATTATACTCTTCTAGTGATAAAATATTAAATTATTTAAGAATAATTTAAAATTTTTGAATTTAAATGAAATAAAGTACGTGAATGTATATATACGTACATTTTGTTGGAAGATTTTATGACAAATTTTACGTTTAAAATAGTATTAAAAAAAGCGTTAACACAGATTACTTATGAAAAAAATTATTTAGTGATAGTTTTGTATTTTTATTACAGATAAACTTATTTTTAAGTTCAATATTTGTAAAGATAATTCAGTGAGATGGCTGTTACTAGTTTAGAAGAAGATATTGCTTGTCTTAAGGGTTATATTAAATCATATCCAGATTTTCCTATTCCTGGAATTGTATATAAGTAATTTTTCATATCAATAATATTTAATAAAAAAGTAATTACAAACTTTTTTTTTTTATGTATTCAATAATTCTTCAAGAGTAACGAATAATATTCAAATTATAATTATTTAATATAGTTTTTTTTATTTTATTTTTTTTGGGAACGTCTTTAAATATCAATAGATTACATTGTATTTGTCCATTACAGTTAAATATAGAAATCTTATGATTGAAGTCAAAATTACAATTTAAAAAACTAAATACATTGTAATTTTTAATACATACAATTTTTTCTATAAATGTTGAAAATCAATATTTTGAAAAGTTAATTTATCCATTTTTGTCTTATATACGATATAGTCTAATTTAAGACATTTTAGATAATTTTTTTATCATTACATTATTTTGCTTATATTTTGTCAAATAAATTTATTTTATTTTTTTTAGAGATATATTTTCGGTATTAAATAATTGTGATGGGTTTCAACTATTAAATAAAATTTTAAAGAAATATGCACTTGATTTAAAAGGAACTATAGACTGTGTTGCCATGTTGGAAGCTCGTGGCTTTCTATTAGGTACTTTAATGGCCTTATATCTTAATGTTCCTTGTGTTCCAGTTAGAAAGAAAGGAAAGCTACCTGGTCGAGTAGCACAATTAGAATACATTTTAGAATATGGAAAGGTAACTAAAATTTTAAACATTTTTATATTTTAAAACATTGAAAATTAAGGTTTTAATTTAGCAGTTATATTTGTAACTGAAATTTCATTGTTTTTAAAAGTCAAAGAAATTTGTAATTATTCTGATGTAGAAAATAAAATAACTTATCTTATTTTCTATATACGGAAAAAATTTTCTCATAAAATTGTTCTATTTCAGTTGTACTAGCCTTAGATATACAATATAAGTTTTATAATAGAAATTTGAGGGATTCAGCCACCTTCCAACCTAATTTTGTATCAAGTCAGTAAATTTATCCATTTTTTATGTGAAGAACAACAAGTAATAAAAGGTTTTATACACAAATTAAAAGTGTTATATAATTTGTTTTTGGAAATTTTCATTAAAAATTTGTTGACTAATAAAACAACATAATAATCTTTTGTTTTCTTGGCTATATATTATATTACAGTATTCATTAGACAAATAGTATACTTTTTAGATGGTTGTATTTTTAATTATGTAAAATTAGGTACCTGTTTTGTGTTAGTATAACATATTGTATTGCCTGAGGCCTACAATTTTTTTGTTTTATTATTATATATATATATAGTGTGTGTCTCAGACCTAACAGCCATTTTACCTTAAAAAATATTTCTAGATTTTCCAGTTAGGTCTGAGATACCCTCTAAATTCTTAATCAATTGTGTTAATATTTAAACCATTTATTTAGGATGTGCTAGAAGTACAATTAGATGCGATAAAAGAAGGTCAAAGAACTTTAATTATTGATGATTTATTGGCTACTGGTGGTAATATATTTCAATTATTAATATTTCTATTATGTTAATGAAATTTTGTATAATAATAATTTTATGGTAAAAAGGGCAAAAAATGTTTTGATTTTTATTTTTTAAATTACTATAATTGTATTTAACATTTACTGGTTTAACCAAAATTATATTAAAAATACTAAAATCTATAAGAAATGCTTATTTTAAAAACTCAATTAAAAACAGGAAAAAGTACTGGAAGAGTTAGATAGTATTTAGATTGATAAATATAAATATATTATTTTTTAATGTTATTAATATTTGTTTAGTTGAAGTTAACTATTTTGTTCTATGCCGCTTCGCCGGCAATTAGTATATAAGGGACCCCCGTTACCCCTTAAATTTAAGATATTTTTTGAAGAACTTCAATATATGTGGTTACTTGATATTTAAGTATTGTCTACTCTCGTTACTTATTGGATATACCATTAGCCGTCTCCCCCAGGTGACCAACTCCCATTTTAATTATAGTGATTTAAATAGGACTAAGGTAAAACGGCCTTTTAGTGCGGTGCACAACTAGCCGTGTTACTACATTATAGCTGCCTCATACAAAACAATATTATCTATTTTTTATATACAACATAATAGATGTCTTTTTACTTTTTACTAAAAAATCGACTTTTCAAAATAAAACCAGGATAATAATTATTCTGGTTTATAAATTATTATACACTTATTAAATATTAATGTATAATATATACACTGTTTATATTATATGTAACAAAAACCCATTTTTATAATGAAATTTATTGTATTGTAATATAGATGAATTTTAAAATGTATATTAGTAAATAACATGTTGCAAATAATAATTTGAGATATATTTAAAAAGAATTATTATTTAATTGAAGGGTTATTGTCTTATTCTATAGGCAGACATTGTTTTTTAAAACTTTTTGTAATCTATCAGTTTTATTTGGTTCTTCAATGTCATTAAGTTCTTAAAGTCTTTTATTTAAGCATCTTCATCTTTTAGTATTTTTGATAGTATTTGTATGTAATAATTATATAAAAATACTAATATTTGTTGTATAAGTGGCTAATAAAATACATTAAATAAACAAAGGATGAAGCTTAAAAAATCCTTGTATTAAAAAAAAAACATTAAAATAATTTCTACTACTAATGATTGTGTTATATGAGTCTAACATCTAACTGGTTTTTTTCACAGACTATAGACAACACATGACACAATGACAACAAATATAAATAGATAACATAATACATATATATATATATATACCATAATATGCTGACTATTCCCTATAAATGTCAACATTTTGATTATTACTGTTTAATTATTTTCAGGAACTCTTCGAGCATCTATCGAACTACTGAAAAAAACTGGAGCTAAAGTAGTTCAAGCTCTTGTTATTATGGAGTTATGTGATTTAGAAGGCCGTAAAAAATTAGACATTCCAGTGAAGTCATTCGTTCAATTTTAAATTGTGATTAATTTCAAACATTTTTTTAAATTATATATTATTATGTTTTTATTTAAAGTATTATATGTATTATATAAAATTACTTTTATTTATACCATCTAATAAAATAGAATCATTAGTTACTTATAATTTATCTAATGATCAATAGTTTGTATTTGACATTCTTGAAATTTAATTGGATATACAAGTTGATACGTTTATCATATTCTACTCAGTTATAAGATAAAAATAATTTTCAAAAATATCTTTTTTAGCTAAATGCATGATTTATCAATTGATTATGTATTTCTCGGGTTATCCTTTATGGAATGATATTAAGGTACATTTGTACCTTTTATGGATGTCAACTTTATTTTTTAATATACTTATACATATTTAATAATATATACATGGAAACAAACATATTTAACTACATCATAAAATAAAATAATTTAATTGAAAACGAATTTTGGATTGGTACTTTGGAAGTTATAAGTATTTAAAAATGTAGACTGGTGGTGAAACGCAGGTATATCTATTATTACCATTCGACATTTGTCAGCTGCATTCCTCCTTCCTAGGTATAAAAATTTAAACAACTTCAAAAGTCGTGGTCTAAAATTTGTTATCTATTAGTTTTTTTCTATATTATAAGTTAGTTTTGTATGTACTTAACTTATGTAAGTTGACACCTTTACAAGATATAAGGAGTTAACTAAAAAGTTCTTAACAACTGATAAATCGATAAATATATAATAACAAATAAAATAAAAACCCAGCACAGTGAGGACGTGCCGTAGTTTGGCCCAGTATAGATGATATCTATGTGAGAATAAAATCACTATCATTAAAAATGCTTTGTGGAAAAGTTATTTTTTCTATATACATTTTAAGTTTTGGACCCCTCTGTATAAAGGGAAATGGTTCGATTTAAAATAAAAATGATGTCGAATGGAAGATGTATATAAATAGTATTTCTCATAAAAAAATTGTATTGATTTCTACATTTTTTAAAATGTTAAAAATGTAAAATATAAAAACGAGAATTTTAACACAAAAATAGCATACGGTAGCTAGAAATAATGTTAAAAATGCTGAAAAGAGATGGAGTTGCAACTACAGAAGGAAAACTGTTATATGAATTGTATAAAAATGAAATAGCAATCATAAAAATTGGAGATATTCAAAAAGTTCAAAATAAAGACAGATATTAGACAGGGATGTGCATTATCACCTTTTATATTTAATGTCTACATTTAAAAGGCGATTGATATTACAAGAGAAAGGACACAGCTAGGAATAAAGATAAATGGTCACAGAATAGACATGCTGAGATTCTCGGGTGACATTGCAATAATAGCAGAAAATGAAAATTTTAAATAAAATGTAAAAATCGTAGATAGCTATTTTGTAGAGTAGATTTTAAGAAAAATGTATATAAAAAAATTATTATTATTAATATTCAATAGTAAATAGTCTGTATCATTTTAAGTTTGTGAAAAATTGAATTTTCATGTGTTATTTTACAGTATTAAATATTGAAATACGTGTTTAGACAAGGACAAAAGAAAAGTAAGATATGTAGTTTTATAAAACATGGGCAGCGTTTGATATCGTATAACGAATACAGAAAAATTAAATTTTTTATAAAATTTTAAAATGTTACAGAAATTTATCTATCAAACATTAACAAGAATTTTTTTCACTAAAAAATGGCTATTTTGAATTTTTTTAAAACATTTTTGGTAAATTTGTATTTAATTATAAAAATTATATAAATTACATTATTATTATAGCCCTCAAGTATATTAACTATAAAATAAATATAGTTTAAAAAAACTAAAAAACACGCTTTTAAAGAACATCGAACTAAAAAGATCAAAATAATTTTTAAAATAAGCGTAAAACAATAATGAACGAAAAGTACTAGTATTATTGTTTTACGCTTATTTTAAAAATTATTTTGATCTTTTTAGTTCGATGTTCTTTGAAAGCGTGTTTTTTAGTTTTTTTAAACTATATTTATTTTTCACTTTTTAGTTATATGTTATGTTAGTAGTTACTATCAATATCATGGTTGTAACTAGTGATGGGCATAATCGAATGATTTCGATAATCGAATGATTAGTAATCGAGACATTTTTATAATCGAGTGAATCTCTCGAAAAATCACTCGAAGTTAAAATCGTCTGGTCCTATGATAAGAATAATCAACTATTATTATTTATCGAGAGAATCGAAAAATTATACGAAATATGAATAAATATACCTATAATAAATAATTATTAATTTAATTTTGCTTTTTTTATTTGTTGGTGTTTATTTATAATTGATATATTAAACTATAATTTAGGAATAATAATAACAATAATATATTAATAATGCATTATTAATAAGTGCTTTAAATAAAAGACAAGTTGTTTTTTTTTTTTATTTAATAATTATTACCTATATTTTAAAAAAACCGATAACAAATTTAAAAATAAAAACATAAGATAAGGTAGCAATAGCCTGCTTGACCATCATAATTAAAACACCTAATTGATTTTTCATAAATTCACAACTAGTGAGAGAATCAGAACTCAGTAGTTCAGCCAGTTCAGGACAAAACTTTGTTCTAATCGTCACATACTTCCCAAAAATGTGACAGATAAGGTGTTGCCATGAGTAGCGATTGAACGAGTTGAAAATAAGACTCGAAGTCAACAATTTAATAATAATTCGACTATAATTTATGCTAAATAAAAACTTAAAAATAGTATTCTCTCGTTTCATCGTTTCATGGACATCATTCGAAATAACTTTTATTCGATTATATACATTTCAAGATCAAGAAATCATTGTTTTTATAATAAACGAGAAATCATTAGAAATAATCACTCGATTATAGAATAATCAATATTATTCTAATATTATTTATTAAAAAAATCAGAATATCTCGATTATATAATTGATATGATTTCAATAATCGAAATATCTCGATTATTTTCATAATCGAGATATCTCGATTATGCCCATCACTAATTGTAACGGGTAAAGGGGAATCAGGGTTCGATTCCGGAGTGGGAGTTTGAGAAACAGCTACCACATCCAAGGAAAGCAGCAAGCGCGCAACGTGGAGGTAGTGACGAAAAATGTCAATACGGCAATCATCCCCCGTAATCGGAATGAATACACTATATATCTCTTAATGAGAATATAGCGTATTAATATATAAGTTTTAATAGTAATTAAAATATATATATATATATATATATACATGTAAAGCTACTTAAGTACTTAAACGTATCATGCACGAGATATAGCTGTGTTTTGTTGGCGGGCGGGGCGCGAGGCATATATGGCGGGATCGGCGTCGGCTGTAGGGATATATAAATGAATATTAACATATACGTATATATAAATATTAATATATACATATATATGTATATATATATTAGTATTAACTGCGATGGTAAGAATATATAATCTTCGCATAATATCGCGGCACTTTTGTTGGCGTCGAAGACGCGATGACCGGCGTGATCCTCGGGCGTCAAAAGGTTAGCAGCGTTGATGGCGACGGTGCGTGAGTGGAGATCGGTTTGTTGACGTTATCACTTTGACAACGAGAAGAAAACTACAGTATCATTAGTGGCGGGACGTCGTCTATATGGCGACGGCTGATATAGGTGGCTTGAGTCGTGGGGTATCGTGTATAACGAAACGACGTGGAGCCGTGTCAATCACAATAAAAATTTGTTATATATATATATATATATATA